CTGAAAGTAATATAATATTGTACATTAACTGGAATTTACAAATAATTATTTAAAATAAATCTAATTTTTAAAATGAGTATTCAGTTTCTCTATTATTTATTGTGTGATCTAGCCTTTATCCACTGAATTAAAATGCCATATTTTATTACATATTAATTATTAAGTGTACTTGAATCAGTTTTGGAACTTTTCAAATGAATTAATCTATTTCTTTCTCATGCCATATGTTATTATAGTTGTATAATATGATTTGATATTTATAATGTAAGCCCTCTCACACATTATTCTTATTCCTCAAATGTTTTTCATTAGTCTCTCATTTAAAAAAAAGAAAATTAGAATCATTTTATTTTTTTTAACATTCTTTATTTTTATTTTTTTAAAAAATACATTTTATTGATTTTTTTTTTTACAGAGAGGAAGGGAGAGGGATAGAGAGTTAGAAACATTGATGAGAGAGAAACATCGATCAGCTGCCTCCTGCATGCCTACTGGGGATGTGCCCACAACCAAGGTACATGCCCTTGACCGGAATCGAACCTGGGACCTTTCAGTCTGCAGGCCAACACTCTATCCACTGAGCCAAACTGGTTAGGGCATTAGAATCATTTTATCCATTTATTCTACAAATACACGCTCAGTGAATATTCTGTGCTAGGTACTGTGCATGGTATTGAGATTGGTAAGAACTAAGATAGAGCACCTATGCTCTTATGGTGAAAAAGTTCTCTTCCAAAAACGACTTGGAATTCTGATGAAGACTGCGTAATCTTATAAAATAACTTGGAGGAGTTTGTAATCTTTGCAACAGTTTTTCTTTTTAGAAAGCTTTAAAGTTTTAATTTATTTGAGATTTTAAAAATATATCTTAGTAATGTATTATAAAATATATTTCTAGATATATATTTATTAATTATTGATATCTACAATGCATTTTTGTTATATTGTTGCTATAAATGGGATACTTATTTAATTGATCATTATGCTTGACATGTAGGAATCTATTTTCTTAGTAGAAATATTTTTTAAATCTCTACCTTTTAAACTCTTGATTCACTAAAATTTGTTCTATGGACAATCACATTCTATGCTGATACTTATACTTTTACTACCCCTTTCCAATATTCATACCTCAGTTATTTTTCTTTTTTAATTATATTAGCAAAAAGTTACAGAAATAATGTTACTGTACTATTAGCCAGTATAGCTATTGTTTGCGTTGATCTGACTCTAAAGCTAAGATTCAAAGTTTAATTAACAACAACTGATTGTTGTTTTGAAGGAGAATTTTTTCTCAGGTTAATGAAATCTATAATAATAAAAGTGTAATATGCTAATTAGGCCAGATGTCTGAATAGTGGAACGACCTTCTGGACGAAGCCAGGGCTGTGAGGGCTGAGCCCCTTGCACGAATTTCGTGCATAGGGCCTCTAGTCCTATATAATAAAAGGCTAATATGCAAATCAATTAAATGACCAGTTGCTATGATGTGCACTGACCACTAGGGGGCAGACGCTCAATGCAGGAGCTGCCACCTCATGGTCAGTGTGCTCCCACAGTGGGAGCACCTCTCAACCAGAAGCTGGGCTCATGGCTGGCAAGCACAGCGGTGGTGGCGGGAGCCTCTCCCGCCTCTGCAGCAGTGCTAAGGATGTCCAACTGACAGCTTAGTCCTAATCCCCTGAGGGTCCTGGACTGTGAGAGGGCACAGGACAGACTGAGGGACTCTCCCTCCAGTGCATGAATTTCATGCACTGGGCCTCTATTATCTTAATATTTGAGTTTATTCAGAACACTAGTGGCCCGGTGCACAGATTTGTGCACATTGAAAGGGAATTAATTAGAAGAAAGATTTGTGTGGTAATTACATTACTGCAAAAAATTACATGTGAAAATAGTATATATAATATAGTATCATAAAATTAAAACATGCATTCGATTGGAGCCAGCAAGAGTTTTATATGTATCGTGCACGAGTCAACGTTTATTTTTAAATTGCCAGTGTGCGTCATATGTACTGGCCAGTCAGACACTTAGCCTTTTATATACACTGAGTGGCCAGATTATTATGACCACCCCATCAGTACTTCGTTTGGCCACCTTTTGCCTTCAATACTGTGGTGATTCTTCTTGGCATTGACTCCACGAGATGTTGAAAGGTGACACGAGGAATCTGACACCATGCCTGATGAATAGCATTGTTCAGTTCTGTGAGATTTGATGGTTGTGGAACCAGCTGCCTGATGGCTCTTTTAACTTTGTCCCACAAATGCTCAATTGGATTGAGATCTGGTGATTGTGGGGGCCACCTAAGCAAGGTAAAGTCTCCCTCATGTTCTTGAAACCACTCCTGCACAATACGAGCACTGTGGCATGACGCATTGTCTTATTGGAAGAAGCCATCTCCCTTGGGATACGCCATCAACATGATAGGATGAACTTGATCAGCAACGATACTTAGGTATGTTGTGCTATTCAGACGTTGTTCCACACGAATTAAAGGACCTAAATCATGCCAGGAAAACATGCCCCAAACCATAACACTGCCCCCACCAGCTTGAAGGGTTGTACTCATGCATGTGGGGTGCATGCTTTCATGCTGTTTCCACCAAATTCTCACTCTGCCATCTGCATGATGCAACTGGAAACGTGATTCATCAGACCACATGACTTTTTTCCAGTGCTCGACTGTCCAATCCTTGTGTTCCTGTGCTTGGATAACTGTCATGGTAAACAACCTGCTTTCCTATTTATAATGGTCTGGCCCTCTAGCAACTTCAGCGTGATATTATAGCTAATTTGCCTACAAACATCAGGTGGTCATAATAATCTGGCCACTCAGTGTATATAGATTATCAGAAACAGATACTGAAGTTTATCAGATTCCTTTATAGTTGTTATTGAGATAACCATAGTTTCTTCTGTAGACTTTTGGTATGCTATTAATTTATTTCTCAATATTAAGAAATCTTAACTTCTCAATACTTCTCACATAATGTCCTAGTATTCCTGGGATTAATACATAAAGTATATTTAAAGTGAGTTGAGATGATAATGATTTTACTGACTACATACAATAGAAAATAATATAAATTTGTAAGTTTTTCAATTAAGCATTCTATTTGTGTTAGAAACAGTGTGCTTTGCATTTGGAATTACAATTTTCAAGGTAAAGTTATCTTGGTGTTATTTCATTTAATGTAATTGCAAGCCTGAACCAAGTTTTCTATTTTCATCGAACTTTCTTTCATGGTCTGAATATCCAGCAGACTTTCTATCTAGAAACATCTGGCCCTGTCCTGGGTATGCAGGCAGAACAGAATTGCTAAAGGATTTAGATTCACAGTGACTTTAAGCTTTGGTCTGGAGGATCCCATGAGAGACCAGATATATCTCCCAGGAGTTATTTTCAGGCTTCTTAATTTTTCTCCGGGAGACTCAGCTAAACTGAGACTCAAGAGAATTCCCACCAGGAATGCAATTACTTGTGCTGTTCTCTAGGCACTTGGTCTTCTGACCTCAACATTGTTCAGACTTGTATCCCCCTGAGTAGAAAACACCTCTATGGTGGCAGGATGTGGGCCAGGCCAATTGCCCAAGAAATCCTCAGCCTGTGCCATGAGACACCCCTGACTCAGGCCATAAAATCAGAGATGCTCGCACTGAAGGGGACCTGCAAGACCAGCTTGCTCCACCACTCAGTTCATCGGTGAGGAAACCATCCAGAGAAGGGAAGTGACTAGGCTAAGCTGGCAGAGAGTGTAAGTAACATGCTGGGATAAGCATGTGGGTTTCGTGACTCTGAATTCAGTATTCATTTCACTGTCATGCTGTTTTAAACATTTGTATCTGTCTTCTTCTGTTATTCTAGTGAACCATTAAGCAAATTCCATTTTGATTTGTGTCTGATAAAAAGTAATGAAATATTTGATCAAATTTTCAGGTAAATTTATATTCCTTCTTATTACATTCAAGCCTCAGCCTGCTTGCACTATTTTATATGGTGCCTTATTGGGACATTTTTTGCGTCTCCGAAAGTAATCTGACCAATAGTGTACACACAGCCTTCACATGCCAAGAATGTAGGATGATGTTTCTCCCAGTCATTACAGGGATGATTTTTGTAAAGGACTGTACTTCAAAGACTCAGCTAGGTATCAGTTACCATTGTTTTCCCTCCCAAATAAAAAAATCAGGTGATATCTGTTAATGGTTCCATTGTAAATATTAGAGAACATGCTGCTCAAAACAGAGTAGGAAAAACTAAAGGGCGGGGGTTGGAATGCTGATTTTACCCTTGAATATTAACAGTTCCATGTTGTGAGATTTGTGTTGGTTCGATGTTGGCAGATGGTCCTATTACTGGAATTTTCTCTACCGAAAATAAACTGCATTTTTTTTCTATGACCATGCACCCTCCCAGAGTAATATTACCAGTGTTTTTGTGGAATAGCTATTGTTGTTCAAGGGATGAGTGTGCCTTCTTTTGGCCAGATGACAACTAACTAATTCATTAATGACAATATGTAGAATAGATGTCTAAATCAGAGTAACACACCTTTCATTTATTTTATTATAAATTGCAACTGAATAACAATTCAGCAAATGGGTCTATTGTAATAGAGGTGACAGGTTATGGAAAAATGTAATGGTGACACAATGGGAGTTTAAGTATAAAGATATTAAAAGCAATAGCAAGAATTTCACATATGTCCTAGCTGGTTTAGCTCAGTGGATAGAGCATTGTCCTGCAGACCAAACGTTCCTGGGTTCGATTCCAGTCAAGGGCATGTATCTGGGTTGTGCAGGAGGCAACCAATCGATGTGTTTCTCTTACATCGATATTTCTGTCTTTCATTCTCTCTACCACATATGACATGGCTCTTTGTGTAGCCATTTTAAGTTTTCCTCTAAAGATCAAAACTTCCTGTGTTGAAATTGTGAGGATATTTTATGAAAGGGGAATAAAATTTCATTTCTCTGTTTGTTCTCTTCTCCAGGAGGTCACCAAAGCAGTCCAGCCTCTCTTACTGGGAAGAATCATAGCTTCCTATGATCCAGATAATAAGGTGGAACGCTCCATTGCGATTTACCTGGGCATAGGATTATGCCTTCTTTTTATCCTGAGGACGCTGCTCCTGCACCCAGCCATTTTTGGCCTTCATCACATTGGAATGCAAATGAGGATAGCTTTGTTTAGTTTGATTTATAAGAAGGTAATATTTCCTTGCACAGTCTCCAGGCTACATGGAGTAGCATCATGGTTTAAATGCCATGTGGGTACAAATTAGGGATACATGCTGAAATCAATTTCATAAGTCTGTGAAATAAGTGGCAGCAATAATTAATGTTTCAAATTCCCTTTGATAATTTAATTCACTTCAATAATTATTGAACACTTTCTATAAACTGCCTATAGTATAGTTTCATTCTTGTTTTTTTCACTAGTCATGTCATCATTTTTTGGAATCTATGGCTCCCCATGAAAATGATTCTTACCATCTGCATAAGTTATTGACAAAACACTGTTTTATACAAAATGCCATGCATGCTTGTGTTCAACAATAAGAATATATTGCCCGGCTGGTGTTTCCCAATGGTTAAGCATCAACCTATCAGAAGGTTACGGTTCAATTCCAGGTCAGGGCACATGCTTGGGTTGCAGGCTCGATCCCCAATGGGGGAGAGGGGGCGTGCAAGAGGCAAGCAATCAATGATTCTCTTTCATCATTGATGTTTCTAGCTCTCTCTTCCTCTCCCTTCCTCTCTGAAATTAATAAAAATATATTTAAAACAACACAATAAGAATATAGTATGTAATTGTTAATGATAATCTAAGCACTGAAAGTTTAGTTTTCATCTTAACTAGTTATGACACAGTGGTGTATTCACCTATCCACTGCCTTATTTTGAGTTAGATTTTTGTCATTCTGTGAGTTCTGCAAATCAAAATATTTTAGAACAGCACTTGGATGGCAACCGTAAGAACCTTCTCTGGTTGTGTGTACTGTCCAGACAAGAACCCAAGTTGCTGAAGCATGATTTAAGTAAGTTCAGATTAAGATTTAGCTACCTTGCAAACACAATTTAAGATAATTTCAATAACATGTGTTTTCAACAACATGATTCAAGACCATATGTGACTGATTATATCTACCAAGTCATTAGGTTGAATTATTTGGATACTGCCTTACCCTTATTGTCTGTTTTATTCTCTCAATGTAAAACCTTTATTTAAGTGGCTTATAAGGGTCATGGATCTGAAATTACCTCTAGCAAATAACCCATAACACTTCTAGAATATATGTGCAAAGTCAGTTGTGTTGTAAAACCTTGATAGCCATACTTTATTGTTCAAGGAAGCCTTTTATGGAGGCACAAGAAAAAAATGGAGTCCACATTTTACTTAAATCACCTCAGCTGCAGTCTATCAGTTCACAAGTACCAGGAAAGCATGGGTGATAAATCAACAGTGATTTTATTAAATTTTATTTTGATTCAGAAATTTTACTTGTGAAGAAATTATTAGATACTAGAGGCCCGATGCACAAAACTTGTGCAAGAGTAGGCCTTCCTTCCTCCGGCTGCTGGCACCAGCTTCCCTCTGCAGGACCCGGGCTTCGGTCACAGCCCCGGCTTTGTCCTGAATGTCATCCAGTCTAATTAGCATATTATGCTTTTATTATTATAGATCATTTAGAAGGTAGAATCTACACAGCAAGCATGTTAAAGAAAGTTGAATCCAGTTTTAAAAGTATTTATAAAAGCTCTTATTGTCATAATATATGCAATAGCTAATGACGTGCATGACAAGCTTCTAAGTGATTTAGGTATACTATCTCATTTGAGCCACTCCCAAACTTTCCATGGTAGGAGCTATTATCCCTTTTCTATGGATAAAATATTTTAAGAAACTAAGACCTAAAAAGTAGAGAACATTGTGCAAAACGTGTTTAAATTTTCTAAAATGGATAAATCATAATCCTTGAAGTGAACAGTTTTCCAAGTATTAGGGAAAATAGCACTGAAATCATGTAGCAAGAGAAACCATGTTATACGGGAAGAGAGAGGCATGAAATGGTTTGGGCTAAAGGGGAGGAGAAATCAAAGAAGGAGCAGGTTAGTTTGTAAATAAGTCCCCACATATAACATTTAGCACAAATATAGTAATACATATATGTGCTTTCAGATCCAGAATGTGTTCATGAAAAGTTAGAAGCTGTCGTCTCCTTCTTTCTCATGATAGAATATCTGTTCTTACCTAGTGTGCTTTACTTATCTAGCCACATTCATTAGCCTCCTTTGATATAATCACCAAAGAATGCAATTGCATCTCCAAGTGGCTGTGGTTTGGTCCCTAAAGTAAACTGGGACCTTTGGTTGACCATTTTCATCCATGTGGCAGGCCACCACCACTTCTTTCTGCAGTATTCCAAATTTTGTAATAGGGCAACATTTTGCTTTGTTTCCAAATCTGCAACTGTGACATGTTCAAATTATATTTTAAATAATGAATCTAAGTACAAACTAAATTTAGCTTTGCCTGTGATTTTCAATAAAATAAAGAAAACTAAAGTGAAACATATTTACTGAGTGTTTGTTGTGCTTAACATGGAGCCCGTGGAGAGAGAACTCAGTCACCTGAGACTGGGTCTGTTACTAAGTTATGTGTGATCCAGCTCAGTGGATTCCTCCCCTACCCTCATGTTGCTCTAATAGTGTTTTGGAATTAATTGCCTCGATTCCTTCTTCACCTGTGCTTATCTATATGCTATTCATTATTCAGCACCCATCTTAAATTCTACCCCTTTAATAAAATTTTCCCACACTTTGTAACCGGATATGTGAACTTTCTCTTAACCACTCTATTATATTCTTTCCATTTAACTCATTTATCTTTATCATATTTAGATATGTCTGTACTAGGTTGCCTTGAGGCAAGAATTATGTTTGTTTTAAATCTTAATAATCTTTGAAGCCTTAAATATAGTGATTTGCATCTATTAAGTGCTCAACACATGTATGAGAAATTTAGTTAAAACAAATATTAGATGGATACTTTCATATAAATGGCAAATCAATTCTTATTAAATTTTGCAGGCAAAGTATGACTGTAATTTTTTATAATCATAATCCATTTATCTACTAAACAATTCGTTTTTTGTGTAGATGGATGTATATTTCTTGGTAAAATTTAAAGATTTTATATTAGTGGTATAATTTTTCACAAAATTATTAATGATTCAGTTATTCATAATGTACTTTAATAGACTTTGACATTAATTTTATTCAATAGAGTTACAATAGGACTGCAAGCAAAATTTAAGACCAAGGTTTTTTTAAAAGATTTTTTAAATGGATGTTTAGAAGGAGAGGGAGGGAGAGAGAAATGCTGATGTGAGAGGGAAACATTGATTGGCTGCTTTCTGCATGACCCCCATTGGGGATCAAACCCACAACCAGGCATGTGCCCTGAGTGGGAATTGAACAGGGAATCCTTCAGTGCAGGGGACAATGCCAAACCCATTGAGCGACACCGGCCAAGGCAAGGCCAAAGTTTTAATTAAAAATTCCACTGCCTTTGGTTCCATGTTTATAACAATAAAACAAACCCTTCACACTGTATAAATAAGTATTTAGGAGGAGCATTTCCATTTTGGAGGAGCAAAAAATACTTATTACTGTCTAGATGCTGGAAAATGAAATAACGAAGGGCATGCCAGTATAATATTTGTTGTGAAGAACAATGTTAATATATCTGAGAAGATAAAAAGCCAAGTGAACATAAAATAATTTTCATTATCTTTACTTAAAAATACACACACAGTAAACTAATACCTCAGCTGTGTTATAATGTTACTTATGGATATATTTGTCTTCGGTTATTCAACATCATCTAACTTCCTATTTTTCCTTTTAGACTTTAAAGCTGTCAAGCCGTGTTCTAGATAAAATCAGTATTGGACAACTTGTTAGTCTCCTTTCCAATAACCTGAACAAATTTGATGAAGTATGTACCTACTGATATAATCTTTTATGCATTATCGTTAAAAATCGTACAACCCTGAAGGTTTTCCTGGATCAGATAATGCTAATAAGTGGTTAAGTAGAACACATCTCTCACCTTCCCTGTTTTTGAAAACTGAGAAAGGTAAGTTGTGTAGTAAGGTGCCATCCTGGGGTCTTGTGGAACCACCCAACTCAGAGGCACTTCAGCTTGCTGGGTATTTGGTGAGGTTTTTCAAAATTCAATCCTTATCAGATATTGTTTTCTTTTAATACTTTAAATCACTTATTTACTTTGGTTGAATATGATATTCTGAGCAATTTTTGGTGAGTGCCATCTTGTGTCACAAATAAATGCTAGGTCCTTGAGAACAGATAATGTGTTTTATTGATCTTTGCATTTTCAATATTTAATTTTAACACAGTATTGAGCTAAATTACTGTTGCTTTGACTATGCATTTATTCTGAATATATTGTCAGAGTTGCGCCTTGGTGGAGACTGGGCTTCTGGACAGTCTTGTTCTCTCATGGCTCTTGCTTTTTCCAAATAGAAGTAAGTTATTTAAAAGAAATTCTTGACATGACACTTCAGAGATCCGATGTCAAGTCCCCTGGATTAAAAAAAACAAAACCCATACATAAAAATGCAGTAGCTTGAAATGTGTTCCTTGGGAAATCCTAGTCTGTGTGTAGAAGGTTTACACATATTGCTATGTGTTTTATGTAACGAATACCTAGATTTTAGTGCGCTGAGAATCATAAAGTGTTTGATGGTATAAGATCATTCATCTGTGCTTGTCTATTTTTTTTGGGGGGGGTGAGGGATAAAATATCACCAGTTTTCACTGTGATTTTATTTTCCAGGGACTTGCACTGGCACATTTCGTGTGGATCGCGCCTTTACAAGTGACGCTCCTGATGGGGCTGCTTTGGGAACTGTTACAGGCCTCCGCCTTCTGTGGACTTGCTTTCCTCATAGTCCTCTCCATTTTTCAAGCTGGCCTAGGGAAAATGATGATGAAGTACAGGTAGCACTCTATTTACATAGCTTGAAAGGGTTTTAAATTAGATTTTCAATAAACCCAGGACTGCTCTGTGTATTACTTACTGGGTGTCCCTAAAAAGGAATTATTTTATTTTTTTTACCGCATGATTTCACTTATATATGAAATCAAATGAACAAAATAAACAAACAAAATGGAAACTAGATTAAGAGAACAGACTGACAACTGTCAGAGGGGTGGGGTTTGGGGGCTGGGTGAAAAGGTGAAGGGATTAAGGAAAAAAGCAACCTCATAGACAACAGTATAGTGATTACCAAAAGGAAAGGAGGGTGAGGGTAAGTAAAAGAGTGTAAAGGGGGGATAAATGGTGACTGAAGGAGACTTGACTTTGGGCAGTGAGCACACCATCAAGGCATTATTTTAATGGTACAAATAATACTTCCTATATCAATGGGACATTTTTTACTTGTCAATTTGTAGAATTTCTTTATAAATATGTCACCATCCAGTTCATTTTTTGTAGATCATGAGATTTGAGTATAATGGATAAAACATTAATTGAGTGGGAAGGAACACATAGATTTTGGGTAGTTTATAAGCTTTTACTACCTGGTTCATGGATTATCACATCAAAGCCTTAGTTACTTTATATTACAGAATGACTCAGTGATACCAGTCATTGCTTAGATAGAGGAGTTTGTCGGCTAGAACATGATAGAAAATGTACAAATTTTGGAGTCAGTTAGCTCTTGGCTGGAATCCCAGAGTGCACCTTTACTAGTTATGTGACCTAGGTAAGCCACTTCACTCCACGGAGTTTCTGGTTTTTCATCTTTAAAATAAAAATAACCACCACTCCTAGTCTGTCAGTAAGGATCAGGAATAGTGTATGGAATGCATCTTCTACAATGTCTGATACATAGGGGTCATTTATTAAGTGGTAGCTATTATCTTTTCATCTATTTGATAATAAAATGCTGTTTAATCAAAGAAATATGACTTTTTAAAAGCTTGAACTGTTCTTAGTGCATAATGTGACTTGTTTTTACTAATTATTAAATTGAATGATTGATTGCCTTACAGAGATCAGAGAGCTGGGAAAATCAATGAAAGACTCGTGATCACCTCAGAAATTATTGAAAATATCCAATCTGTTAAGGCATACTGCTGGGAGGAAGCAATGGAAAAAATGATTGAAAACCTAAGGCAGTAAGTCATTTAGATAGTTTCAATATCATTAGTCAGTGAATGTTTAATATTTCAAAAATGACTTTCAGTGGACTTCTAGCTCATATTTGAAGTTTCTGACAAACAGTTGTACTAAGTTATCTCAAATATTCATGTGTTAGTGGCATAAAGTCATTTTCATGGGCTGTAGATTTACATAGTTTGTCAGGTGTGTTTTCACTAGAAAGGTATTTATACCTCACAAAAGAATCTCTTATATGTGTTTATAGCTGCTTAATACACTTATTTGACTAAAGTAACACTCCTGGTGCTGGAGTCTGATTGAAACCTTAAGTGGAACTGCAAGAGTAAGAAGTACACAATTCTGGACCAAATAAATGATTGGCTATTGTTATATCTTCCTTAATCTATGCATTATTGCTCATGAAAAATGAAAAAACAACACCCCGCTTCCTTTGATTAAAATGTTTGTTTTTCCTTAACTTAAAAATAATAACACAGGGTAATATCTATACATTGTGTTTCTATAAACCTTGGGAAGTCAGTTCAAGTCACGAAAACCACGTCTTGAGGTAGTCAATACTCGACACCTATCTCTAGTCTTGTTTCACCTCAGATAACCTTTTTTTCACTGATTAGTAAAGATTATATCCAGCAAAAAAAAAGTATAGCGCAGACTGAGATAAGATTACTGAGATAATTTTTGGCAAAATATAAACTAAGGTAGCCAGGAGACCATTTTTCTTTAGTCAAGTTCCATGTTCTACAAACTGCATTCAAATAAATGCTCTAGGAGACTCAGTGGGAATAGATATACTGTTAGAAGACAAATAATTTCAGGACGGATAATGTGGGAGATTCACAGGGAAAAATACACTAAAAAGAAGAGCAGTGCCCTTTTGGATGGTGTGCCTGTGGGTTGTCAGCAATCCAGGCTGCTGATTCCAGTAGACAGTGATGGCAACTGAGCTGCAGGTGTGTGATTGGAACAACAAAAGAAACGCTGAAATGTTAAGTCCTTTGCCATGTAAATAGAAAGAGTAAAAGGGTATTTATTTCCTAAACAGTATTGCTCACCTGTTTTTATTATGCCTTTCAAGATAAATCCAGGAAAGGAATTATATTTTCTTTCCAGAAACATCATCGTTAAAGATCTTGGGAAATTGTTTTGTTAAAAGTCTTTTTTATCAATAGCAAGTGTTTTCCATCACACTTATCTCCTTGGTCATTCCTGTGCCTGCAAACACAGGCATAGCAAGAGTGAAGAGGAGTTTTCTCCGGTGTCAAGTTAAACTCTTGGTCAGGTCTTTCTGCTTGCTGACTCTCCTTGACTTTCCCCCGTTCTGTTCCTCAAATAATGATATCTATCCTTCCTGCTCTGTATTTCTGTTTGACCGGTTCTAATAGGAAATGCTTGGTTGTAACTCGTATAATCCAGTTCCTTAATCTGGCATGAAATTATTACCCGAAAAGGCTGGGAAGTGCTGACGTAAAATGGGAAAGCAAGAATTGCTTCTATTCAGAAGAGCAAATATAATGTTCTGGAAGAGATTGGTAGGATGTACTGTAAAGGGGAAGTTACCTCAGCTTGGGCCACTGTTGAACTGGGCAAAAGGCTGTGCAAATGTTAGCATAAGTAAAACTTACCTGAGAAACTTTTTAAAATACAGATAATCGACTCCTTTATTGCTCTCTGGTAATAAAGTCACTTTCAATTTTTTTTATAAGAAACTGATAAAATACTTTTATGACTCATAAAGTGTGAATGATTGTATTATGGAGAGCACTGATTTCTTGGTGATTCCTATAAATGTTCCTGAATCCATTATTCTTTTCCTATAGTACACCGGTTCCATTTTCCTCAACTGTTTTGAATACATTTCAACAACAATTTTGACAGATTTATTAACATTTTTGTAAACAGTGTTTTCTAGCATTTTATTAATATCAGCACAGCCAATATTAGTCTTTCGTGGATGAAGATTAAAGACAACATAGTAAGTTCCAAGTGCCTGGCCCTCGGACGTAAAGTCCTTTTTTTTTTTTTTTTTTTTTTTTTTTTTTTTACATATGTTTCTTTTAATCCAAGTCCCTTTTTAGCAAGCTTTTGGCAAATAGCACTGGGCGTACAGAAAGATGCTATCCAAGAGATTGTACTTTGGTTTTTTTTGTTTTTTGTTTTTTTTACTATGTAATTATATTTTATTCTTGATCATCCTGTAATTAGATAATCTTAAAATATGAGGTACCTAAAGGTGGCTAAATGTGTTTTTGGATGTAAAGTCCTTTATCTTGACCACAACTCCACTGGGAAGCTGTATGTTTCCCTTCTATGGATGTGGATTCTGAAGGATCAGAGGGAAGAACAACTTGCTTAAGATTGCATCGCTTTTCCTGTCACAGCCAGGAGTCAAACCCCAGTGAGATGCCAAAATCATAATCTGTCTTTAATGCCAAATAATCGATACAAGTAAGCGTTAGACTATAAATCACAATCTAGGTTGGGCACATTGAACTCTATTTTCTTCATCAGAGTGCTCAAGATTACATTTTTTAAACTTAAAAAGAAAAAAGATTCCCTCTGAATTCTACCACTTAAGAATGTGTGAAAGTAGCACCCAAATGCCAGGCACACCTATTGCCCCCTCCCACCAGGACCCTCTACTGTCTGTGTCCCCACTGCTCTTTCCCTTATAAGAGCTGAACAGGATAATCACATGACTCGATTTTATGGTCCTGTAAGAATGGGACGGAGTTGAAGGCAGTATTGTCCTCTGTTCTCACTGGCCTCTGCACTTCTGTTTTCTGGTTGGAGCACTTAAATCTCTTCTGTGTGTTTGAAAAAAAAGGTTCACATTTCCGGTTTAGACTAGAAGATCAGAAGAGGATACAGGATTTGCAGTCATAATTTTCAAGAACCACCTGCAACAGAATCACTTGGGTTCTTTCTTTTCTTTTCTTTTCTTTTCTTTTCTTCCTTTCTTTCTTTCTTTCTTTTTTTTTTTTTTTTTTTTTGGCCTTCTCCAGACTCACTCACTCAGTGTCTCTGAAAGCTGGGCCTGAAACTGTATTTTAAAGAGTTTCTCAGGAAATTTTTACTTATGCTAACATTTGAGAAACTCTTTTTTTTTTTTTTT